AGAGAGAGAGAGAGAGAGAGAGAGAGAGAGAGAGAGAGAGAGAGAGAGAGAGAGAGAGAGATTATTGTTCTAGGCTCTGGTTCGTCTTCTTTTCCACTTTCTTCTTCTTCGTCGTCTTCTTGTGCTGTTTTGACTTCCCGACATGTATTGGTGATGGTCTACTGAATTTGGCACAGTTATTGGACTCCAAATTTGTTCTGTTTTTTTGTTTTGTTTTGTTTTGTTTTGTTTTCTGTTGTTTGAAGTCCTGGGAGGGCAGGGAGTGGCTCTCATCTTTCTTTTTTTTTTTTTTTTTTGAAAGGCAGTGGACTTCAGATATCATCATTGAACTGACTGGCCCGAGGTAAGTCAGGAATTCACTCAACTAGTTCCATCTGCATTCGAACTCACGTCTCTATTTCAGCAGTTCATAGGTGTACCAACTGAGTAGTTTTGGCTCTCATCTTTCTGTTGTAGGCATTTTAGTTTTTTTTTTTTTTTTGTGGTTGTTTATGTAATGAACCTAGTCGCATTGAGAATCCAATCAGTGTCGTGAATCAAATCTCAACCCAGCGGACAAAGTAATGTCTCCAAAATGGATTATATGTCCATGCCGCATATGTGCTCTTTCCAAGAGCATTGTAACTTCAGAGTAGGGAGAGAGTCCTCGTCAATCATGCATTGAGTCTCTTCTTGCCCACTTCCTCCTCGGGCATTATCCCCCCTGTCGCCACCTCAGCAATGCCAACTCTCTCTGACGTTCTCTGACAGATACAGTGTGCGCCCATCCTCTATCCACACCAGCAACCAATCAGAGAGGATGGTGCAGGTCTTCGTCACCTTTGTGGAGACAAACAGCGGATCACACACGACGGCGCCAGGTAAGTCCAGGTAAGCTTCCTCTCAAATCCCTCTCCAGTCTTGCAGCCTTGATATTCCTCCTCGCCCAACCTCACCACCAACGTCTATGGCTATGGTGGCAACGACCGCTCCGACATAATCTCCCCTGATGCTGGCGCCCACCCAGCAGTGCTGGCGCCAGCCTCTACTCCAGCAGCCCGCGATATTGTACTAGCATCAAGCCATCACAAGGCGGAATGATCTCCACAGTGGCTGGGTCAACTATATTTAGTGTTGACTCAGTCTCCTTGGGTTGACGGCCCAGATGATCTGAAAACCAATGGCCTGGATGCAGCACAGTCCCATCTTTCCCTCTCCACTTGGACTTGAATCTTCTGGATACCAGCGGGTTGACTTTGACTTTGGACCTGGAATCCCGTGTTTGGGTTTACTCTTGATTTTCCAAGAGTCAACTGTCTCAAGTTGGGGTACTGGACACCGATTTTGACTCAGATCTTGGTACCCCTTGACCCCAGGCACTTTCTCAGACATTTCTCAGGCTAGGGACGTGACTTTTGACCCCTATTTCTGGCCTTTGACCAAAAGTGACGACCCTTGTGCCGTCAAGTTTTCAACAGATCAACCAGTATTCAGCGTTATACAGGACTGTTATTCGGAAACAGATCCTACTTATCTTTTCCACTTGGACAACGTCGTTCAGCGACGGTGTAGCTCTACCCCCTTGGAGTTGAGGAAAATGAGCCCTTGTCTTGACGAAACTGAGTTTTTTTTTAAGTTTGTTGGTGGTCCTTCGAAAAGTCCATCTGAGTTGTGGCAGTATCGAGAAGAGAAGATTAGCATGGGCCCTGCACTAGGGTGGCAGATGCAGATCAAGAAATGATCCAAAGTAGGAAAAGAGAGAAATTCGTTTTTAGTGTCTGTCTCTGTTTTCTTTCACGAGTGCAATGAACCTGTTGAACAGAAGCTGAATCGCTCTCAAAGCAATATCGTGGAAGCCTTGAATTAACCCAATCATCAACGGATGCAACCAATGAGAATGCACATGAGGGCGAAGAGAACAAACCCAAATGCAAAAAACAAACAAACTAGTAATCATAACAACAATGTCTCAATGTCCTTCAGTCTCTGTCAATTCCCCACCTACATCAATCCTGACTCTCGCAGATTCTCCTTTCCGACAAGGAGTTCCTTCTCTCTAGCCTCTCCAACCTAAGTCAGTCTCAACTGTCTCTTCAACAGACCTTCCAGAGGTCAAGTGCCACAAGAATGCAGTCTTGATTGAAGAATGTCAGTCCCTTGCAGTCTTGGAGTTTTCCTCTTCAATGTGGCTGTGGCTACCAGCCACCAAGTGACCGCTCCCCACCGTCTCTGCAGCATGCTTCCCGCCTTCCTGCCATCCTCCTTCCTATTCCCGCAACATGGCTGCCTGCCAAAGCACTCTTTCCCTTCTCTGTCGAGCGCAAGGCTGCATGGTGCACAATACTCCAAGATCGAACTGAGTGTAAGGCAGAAAGTGTTGCGACTGAGGACTGGCAGCAGAGATGTATTGCTTTGACAGAGGCAATGGGTGCCAGCAGCTGCCTGGGTGGCCACTGCACTCAGTACCACTGGATCCTGGACGTGGATTGTCGGATGTGTGTGCAATTGTGGCCAAATTGACTTCTGGAGAATATTTTGAATCTGGGTCGGACTGGGCCTGACTGTTGAGAACATTTTTCAGACACCCTTCCCAAGGCCTCCATAGGCTTAGCACCAATCCCACGACCTGAGACTGACACAGGGCCTGTTGAATGCAGTGTTTCTGACCCTGTTTTTGTGCACGTGGAACTAATTACATACCTGAATGTGTCCTTGTTTCAAGGAACAGTGGACCAGAGCTCAATGGAGCCACAGTGGAATTCACGCTGGAGGTGAGCAAGGGTGTCAGTGGTGCTATCGTATTCCTAGAAGTTGACTCTGTGATGCTAATGGTGATGCTCATTTGTCTATCCTGCTGGCACTGAGCACAGTGGCTTCTTTTGGATGGCCTGGTTATTGCAGGCAAACATGCACAGGATGGGATTGCTATTCTTCCATTTGACGTGGCTGGAAAGAGCGATGCTATTGATTCAGCTGTAAAGCATGCTACAAATATGTTTGGTGTAATAGACTTTGTGGTTCTGAATGCTGCATACACTCGGACTGTGAGTTCCCTCCTTGACCAACGAACCTCTTACAAGTCAAGCCTAACCCAAGCCAAGCCAGCTCTCTTAATCCGCATTTCTGTCTGCAAAGATTCGTCTTTCGTTGGCAAGTTGCCACTCTCTGGATCTCATGTGCCCCTTCTCTGAACCACTTTGTCAGCAGTTCAGCTTTTTTTTGTGGAATGTGTCGGTGAATCGAATCACGTGTTTTAGAGTTTCATGGATGCGTAATGTTGCATAACAAACATGCACAGACAGACACTGAGTGTGTGTCAGGTGTTTCACAGTGCTCGGCACTTGTTCTTCCCTGTGGGGTCGCGAGCTCCACTGTGAAGCATTGGCAATGTAGGAATGGACTGAGATCAGTAGGAGGCGCTGTTTTCAGGTGGCATCCATCAGCAGTAACGTTTTTTTTTTTTGTTGTCGTTCTCTCCTCACCGCCTTGCCTTTTGCCCTGCTGGGGCCAAGAGTGTAAAAATTCTTTGCCAAAAGTCATCACAGACAAGCATGCCCCCCCCCCCCCACACACAAAAAAAAAAAAGAAAACAATTTCCAGAAAGTGAAATAGTGAAAATACAAACATATCTGAAAGGATAAAGAAGAAGATTATGTCCAATGAAAAAATTGGCAAGAGCTAGCTGAAAACAATCTGGTGGCAACTTTCGGGGACATCAAAGGGCACTATACTCTTAATTTTCCCAAGTAGTGCAACTGAAGCCCACTTAAAAAGGTAAGGTAGGTTCCCTAGAGTAATAATTTGGTGAATTCAAAGTCGAAAAGTGGACTTTTTTTTTTTCCAATTAACAGAGCCCCTTGGCTCTGGCTTTTACCATTCTGGGGAGCGACAGTCTGGTTCCTTTCCCCCGGCAAGTCGAAAAAAAAAAGTAAAAAAAAGTAAAAAAAAGTAAAAAAAAGTGGACTTTTTGATTAAGGCCTGCCTCCTGCTCTCCCTTCTCTCCCTGCTCTCCCTGTCTCCCTGTCTCCCTGTCTCCCTGTCTCCCTGCTCTCCCTGCTCTCCCTGCTCTCCCTGCTCTCCCTGCTCTCCCTGTTCTCCCTGCTCTCCCTGCTCTCCCTTCTGAATCTCCTCCTTGGCCCATGTCCGATTGCCTGTGCTCAATGCAAATGTCATATGCAGACAGGAATTTCCAAATACAAATGACAGTTGCCCTCCTTTTTCCTCCTCTACCTTCATACTCCTACCATACGTTGTTCACCACTCACACTTGCCCTTACACTAATCAGTGCATATGCGAACACGATCAATGTGGTGCTAGTGTGCCACCGTTGTTTTTTTAATTTGAATCCAGATGGCAGCTGGCACCATTCACATTTTGTCACCTGTTGCGGTCCTGATGATACACTTTTTTTTTTTCCGTTTCCGGACGGACTGTTGGTGCCACTTTTTTTCTTCTTTTTTTCCTTCTTTTCGCCTGGGTGTCCTGGCGTGATGTTCCATTCATAGAGTAAGGGATACCGGCTGTCAAACTTTGTTTCCTACAGACTCTCTCTTCGTCAGTGCTAGTGAGGTCCCAGGAGGCCCATTTTTCTCCATCCAATGGCAATGGTGAACTTCAGAAGTTTGGTCTGCAGGAAATCCCAAACGGAGCTTGGTGCATTTTCACACAGCCACTGTAGTCGGCTTCGATAGGTGCGTGTTCACACAGCCATTGTAGTCGGCTTCGATAGGTGCGTTTTCACACAGCCATTGTAGCCGGTTTCGATAGGTGCGTTTTCACACAGCCACTGTAGTCGGTTTCGATAGGTGCATTTACACACAACCACATTCAATCGTTTTTTATTTATTTATCATTCTGTTTATTTTTGTGAAGTTTAATCCACACGGATAGATTCTTCCAATAGGTTTTTGTATTATCAATTAATGAAGTAATTGTTTTGTAGAATAAACAGAAATATAGATTAAGATTGTTGAATCAATATTGTTACCGTAGAATTTAGACTGTAGTCAGCTTCTATACCAAGCCTTCAACACGGAGGAAGAATGAAATGAAATGGAGATCCACCTCTCTGCTATTTGTAGGTGAGGAGCCAAGGAGTCAAGGAATGGTAAATGGAGGAGAGTTTTCGAGTTTTCAGCCTTGCAGGGAGCGAGGCAGCGTACCGGACTGTCTGGTGCTCTGTTTGGGCCAGATGTCCATGATGAGCTTGTTGAATTTGTTCTAGAGCATTCACAATTTGTGCCATTTAGTCTGTAACAGTGTCACCTTGAGCAGCAGCGAATTCACAATTTATAGAGGATTCACAATTTGTTATAGAGCTTCTATTATTTGCCTGCGTCTCTGGGTTTCTCCACCACTGTTGTCTGCAGGTTTGTGGCCCAACCCCCAAATTTTTCCCCTCTGTCCAAAAGGCCGTGAGACCATTTTTTCCCCCGGCAGAGCGATACGTAAGGCTGATGTGAAGTTGAGAAAATGTTGATGCTTCTGCTTCTGAGGTTTGGCAATCTATCATTGGGTTCATTTGAGCATGGACAATAATTGCTCTGTGGGTAGCAATGATGTGAAGGTGTGAAGGTCAAAAGCTTTTCTCCTTGGCCGATTTGTCAGGCTGTCAGTGACTAACTGAGTCTAACTCCACCACTACTGTTTGTTTGATGTCCTTGTGGATGCACTTGCGCGCGATGAACTTCTGCTGGAGTAGAAATGTAAAGCCTACGAGTTCGATGATGCTTTGCTGGAGGTATATGTTCTTCGAGAATCTCTTTCCAACTTTGTTTCTCTCCTGAGCAAAACCCCTTAGTTTTACTTGCGAGGTGTGCGCTTCTCTAAGTCTCTTCTCCTTTATGGCTGACTCGCAAGGCATGTGCTTTGATCAGTCTTCTCCTTCATGGCAGTCTTGTGTTTTCATCCTGGAGAATGCCAGGGAAATGTTTGGCCTCGAGTGGTTGTGCTTTAAGCATGGACATGCACGTTGAAAGCATCGTTTGGGTGTTCGCTGCATTCTCCTGCACGTGAGTGCTGCATCACGGTTACAGGGGAATGTATGGAACCTCCTTCCCTCACCTTTGGACCCTCTCCCTTCTCTTTTCCAGACTTCTCTATTCGCAATTTTCTCTCCATTTATTGAGCTTCCGTGCATGCCGCCTCCAAATGTCCCTCCTTACCTCCCCCGAATTTCCTTCCTTCCCCTCCAATATCCTGCCCCCTGCCTCCAATCCCCCCTTCTTGCCTTCTCTCAGCCTTGCTACAGGGTTACCCATATGTGGCCACCATGGAGGTCTCTCTTACTACTGTCTTCACCCCAATAGAACGCCCAGTCATTATGCCTGTATGTGGGGCAACTTGCAGTAGATACAGCGATAATGACCAGGCGTTCTATTCGGGCGAAGACGGTAGTCAGCAGTGGGTACGACTTCTGTGCTGGCAGCCAAGCTTACTACAGGACTATCAGCCACGAGCCCCTACTGCACAATCATCGGGGTGGTATAAGTAATTGGAGAGGCTTCACTGCCAGCTCGCTAGAGTCCAGCAGGAATGAATTCCCCATGTCGGGGGCATCTTTCCATCTCCCATGTTCACTTTTACACAGGCAGCTACAGGGGGTGCACAATTTGTACGATCACTATCAGGTGTTCATGCTTCCTATTCCTGGTAGTAGCCCCCCTTTCCTCCCTGCTCCCCCTCTCTCTGGGGCTACCAGGGGAGATGCATGAAGGGGGAGAGAGTGTGGCATTATAAAGGGAAAACAAGCCCATGTTGGATTTGTGTCTAAGACTGTTGTTTACCTGTCCATCATTTCTTGGGAATGGAGGCTACAAGCTGCTGCCGGCTAGTGCTGGAAAGTAGACAGCCCTGCCCCCTCCTGTCCCCTGAACCCTCCCTATCCGCGTCCTTGAGATCGACCCCGCTTGTCCTTGATATCGACCCGGCTTGCCCTCAGACTTGCCCCCTTTGCCGCTTCACCTTTCCCCCTCACTCTTCCGAGTGTCAATCCGTGCCTCCAGACCACTTGCCCCCTTTGCCGCTTCACCTTTCCCCCTCACTCTTCCGAGTGTCAATCCGTGCCTCCAGACCTCCTCCTGAACCCATCATCTCAATGTGTCAAGATTTGCTCCGTCTTAAAACTCGCTTCATGTCTTGATTGCCATTGTAGTGCATGTGCAACCCAGGCCCTCCATCCTTACGGTTGGATCCTCCTGCAAGCATCCCGGTGTTGGATCCTCCTTCGATGCTTCCAGAACCTTCCTCCATTTGTGCTGGAGCTTCCTCGATTTCTTCATCAGAGCTCCCTCCCTTTGACACCCCTGCTGCATTCCTTCTCTGAAACTTATTCGCTTCTGGCCTGCAAATCGATGACATGGCCACCACCTTTTGAATATACTTGTGACAAAGGAGAAAAAAAACGAAAGCGAGAAATATGAAAACAAAAAGGAGCAGAGAACAAAATGCGAAAAAAAGAAAAGACAAAAGAAATGTGAAAAACAAAAGTTGTTCACTCAAGCACATGCAAATGAAACCACGAAACGTGAAAACTTCGTTTTCACTCAAGCAAATGCAAATGAAACCACGAAACGTGAAAACTTCGTAGAACACACCCATGCACGATTCACCCTTTGTGAAGTTTATCGATGATTGTTTTGGGGTTTGTGAATTCTTGGCAACAGGGAACTTTTGGTGTTAATGTACTGGGGCCAATCTACATTGCGCGAGCCATTTTACCTCACATGCTGGAACAGAAGTCTGGGCATTTTGTTGTGGTAAGTGGGGTTCATGCCTCTGCCGCACGCAGTACCGCTTTTGTTGGTAAGGGGTTCGTTTTATGACAATTGCATGCTTTGTCTGGGACTTCGCTTAGGTTTTCATCCCATGACAGGAGAGGTTCCGATGATCCTCATGCTGTCCTCTTTTGCACCTGTAGGCCAAGTGTGTTCGATTAACTTTTGGTGCGCTTTTCACCTTTCACCTTGATGTTGGCAATCGGTTACATCTTTTCTGAACGAGTTCCGCTTCCATATAAAGCTTGATTACCCCTTCCCCCCTCCCCCCCTGCTCCTCCTCACACAACAGACAACAGATGGAAATCGAGGGAGCCGCCTGTTCAAGTGTGGCTTGCATGTCACAAACAATTCCAAGCTTCATTTCTTGTCATGCCATGACGAAAGTTGTTCTGATGATCCTCATGCTGCCCTCTTTTGCACCTGTAGGCATGGCTGCATACCTGCCTACTGCCAACCGTTTTGCAGAGGACCAGTTGGCTGTGTCCCCTAACAATTGGCAACGATGGAATTAAATGCTGTTGTACCCGTTGAATAGCCCCCGGAACCCCCGTTGAATCCCGTTTAACTGGAAAACGGGGGTCTCCCGTTGAATCTGGAAAAACGGATTGGCGGCGTTGGGCCTCGGACACGTGGCCCTACGCCTAAAACCAGGAAAAGAAATAAAAAGTTTGACCCCCCCCCCCCCCCCCCCCCCCCCTCGGGCCCTTCAAACGGGGCCCGTGTGCAGGCGC